ACTTTAGTCTTCTTACCAAAATCATGAAAGTCGTAACCAGATAAAGAATACAAATAATGAGCAAAATCATAATCTAAATATTGAGTTATTTAAGGCCCCATTTGACAATGATTTTCTTCGTACTTTTTAAACACATGTAATTCTACAATTTAATCTATGTGTGATGTAAACAGAAACTTACAACCCTAATTGCTTGTTCTCCAATAAGTTTATAACCATGAAAAAAAAAATTATTTCTTAGCAATTTTGTGAATCCCTAAAATAGTATAAATGACTATTTTATAGCATGGTAATACCAAATAAAGCCCAAGATAAAATCTAGGTAATTGTGGTGTAATAAAAACAATAGAAGGAAAACAAATAGGCAAAATATTTATATAGTTCATTTAGTTGAGCAGAGATGTCAAATTCACACATACCTTTTTTTATCAAATAATTATTATGAATTATATCACTCTAGCTCAACAGATTCCGAGTTAATATAAAATTCATTCATCTTGCTACATTTGCAATCCAACATGCATCATATGAAGGTGGCAAAATAGTAAAAAAATGCATGCATGTATCTAAAAGAAGAGGATAATTGTGCCCATTTTCATGTTTAGCAAAATATCAAACATTAAACATCAATACATAAAATGGAAACATCAAATACCCTAGAATTGTGCCCATTTTTTTAACAACAATCACTTTGTCAAAGACGAAAAAATTGCAAGAAGTCTACTATCTAACTTTTATAAAAAATTTCTTAAATTGCTTGTATATAGACTCAAGATTCCAAAAGCATATATTATTTCCAAAATTTCATTTGCCTACTTTGGTGGCAAAACCAAAATCTAATCATCATACATAGATTATTTTTTTGCCTATATACACAAGAAAAGTAGAACAAACTACTATCCCCTAGGAAATAATATTTTCTTTTGAATTTCTGAGTTTACATACAAACAATTTAAGAATTTTTTTTATAAAAATTATATGGTATGATTGTTGCAATCTTCCAGTCTTTGACAAAATGATTATTTAAAAAAAATTGCACAATTTTAGGTCATTTGATAAATCTTTATTGTATGTATTGATGTTTTATGTTTATCATTTGTTCATTTTGTTTGGGTTGATGAATGCAATATCTTGTTATTTGAAAATTAATTTTTTTTATTTTTCTCACTTAAATACATGCATGCATCTTTTTACTATTTTGTCAATTTCATATGATGCATTTTGGATTCTCTAATATAACAAGTTGAATAAATTTTATATCAATTCAGGAACTGCTGAGTTAAAATGACATAATTCATCATAACTATTTGATAAAAAAGATGTGTATGAATTTGACATCACTGCTCAACTAAATGAGCTATATAAATATTATGTCATTTGTTTTCCTTCGCATGTTGTTAGTCTTTGCTAGTGTTACGCTGCAATTACTGAAGTTTTGCTTGGGTTTTATTTTGGCATTTACATGCTATAGAAGATTCACTTATGCAATTATAGAGATTCACAAAATTGCTAAGAAATATTTTTTTTTCATCATTATAAACTTATTAGAGATCGAGCAAATAACGGTTGTAAATTTCTATTTACACCACACAAATTAAATTGGGGAATTACTTGTGTTTGAAAACTATGACAAATCATTGTCAAATGAGGCTTTAAAAAGCTCAACGTTTAGATTATAATCTTGTTAATTGTTTGCATATTTTGTCTGGTTATGGTTTTCATGACTTCGATAAGAATATTGAAGTTCTACGAAAGCTCTATATTTAAATTACCATCATACTCATTGTTTGTATACTTTATTTGATAATTGATTTTACGATTTTGGTCAGAAGGCCAAAGCTTTACAAAGCCCTAACTTAAGCTAATTCAACTTAGATAGGCTTTGAATTGTTTTGCATTGTATGTTCTTGCTTGAGTGTGCTTAGTTTGGACTAATCAACCCAAATATTGTGCAGTATTAGCTTGGGCAAAACCAATCATAAATTTCATTTATATGTCATAAGAATATTTTATAAGGTCGTGGTCAATCTAATCACAACGCTTCATTCAATCAACAATTAATTATAGAGCTAAGTGAATTATCATGCAATTTTAATTATTTGTTGTGAAGGGAAGTGTTTTCTTATAATCATTGACTTTACTCCAATTATTGGTAGTTGGCTTCATAAGACTTCATTTATTCAAAATGATTCAACTATCGACGCCATTGATGAAAATCGTTAAAGTTATACTAACTAAAGAATAGTTATCTTTACTACACGTTATGATAATGATTTTAACAGTAATAGTTATAACAATAATAATGATAATGATGATGATAATAGTATTAAAGGTAATAATCATAATGATTATACTAATAATAGTAATAATAATAGTAGAAATAATAGTAATAGTAATACAAGTAATGAATAATAATAATAATTAGTTTGAATATACGATAATTATCTTTTCTATGGACTTTGCAAATATTATCTTATTAATATTACTCATCATTATTAAAATATAATAAGAATATTTATTGTAATATTATCATGCTAAATAAAATTGTAGTCTCGGAGTGTTATACCCTGTATATAGGTTTACTTTTTTGAAAGACTCTTCACCTATTTTCCTATTAAATTTCTAATTTTTCTATTTGATGCATAAGGTTAAATTTCAACATTCATAGATGTATTTTTTTTCATTATGCTAAACTTTTAGTTAATTCAACTCATATGATATGATTTTTTGCTTAAGTTTGAATGAATATAAATTTTTCAGACTAAAATATCTTCATTCATAGTTTCAAATTATTCTTTCATAGATGTCATATTTTTATAGGTGTTTTTCTCTTTCTAATGTATGTGTTCTTCAGCTACCCATCTGATTGCTCTGAAATTGGGGAAAAGATAAGAAGTCATGTTATTCGAGCCATAGTGAGTTCTCTATGTTCTTAAGGCTCTTTTGTAGCTATTTGTGATGAGTAGCTAAATATATTGAGCTCTGATGATCGATATCAGTCAAGTAATTCTTGAGATCAATCATAACTTTCTTTATAAAAATCTATCTCAAATCACTTTAGATGAGCTCTCTTAGAGAACAAAACCAATGGGAGTTGAATTGCTGAGATTGAGAAATAATTTCAATTATGCGGCACCAAAGATTGGCACTAGTGATAGAACTCTATAGCAAATTGTGGCTCTACAACTCATGAGAATTTTCCACATCAGGTTAGTAATAATATTGGAGATCAAAGTTGACACATTTACAAAATAATCATTTATTAGTTATCTTCATGACAAATCTTGATATGAAGGGCTATTAAACCTTAATATCTTAATTAATATGGTTTTGGTAATTTTCTTGATTTATGCTTACCTATGCGCTTGAACATATTCAATAAAGTAAATCTTGTTATGGAGAAGCCATTTTTTCATATAGTTTTTGATGCTGCACATTTGAATATATGATCAAGAATGACGATTGAGATTTAGAGCAAGAGCCCCACAAAAATACATGAATTGGTATAATCTTATTGTCTTCTATGAATTAGAAAGAATTTGTGCTTTTCTTAACCACCATCTAGTGTCTCCTATCGATAACATGTTATCCTTTAGCAAACAATTCACAATGTCTATGCTGAGATTTCGTTGCGAGTATTTTTCAATCAAGGGGTGTCCATTAGGCCAAGGTTGTTCTAACTTGTCTACACATGAAAATAGTAGAACAAAAAGTTGATAAACTTTAATAATATCATAGCCACACACCAGAAAAATAAAATAAAAAGTATAATGAATGGTCATGATGGTAAAGAACTTGATAACGAATTATGGTTATTTCACAATATCTTTGAGGGAATCTTTATCACAAATTTAAATTATATTAAAAGTTGAACATCAAAAACACTAATAAAAGTTTTACTCTAGATGTTGGTTAAGAAGAGCACCAATTCTTTCTAATTCATATGAGACATTAAGATTATACCAATTCATTTCTTTATGTGGGGCTCTTGCTCTAAATCAAATAATATTTCCAAAATGTCATTTGGCATCTACTCTGGTGGTGGAATTAAAATCCAATCCTCCTACATAAATTATTTTTCTGCCAATATACACAAGAAAAGTAGAGCAAGCTACTATCATCTAGGATGCAGTTACCTTGACATAAATAAAAAAGTTAAGCCGGTTACTTTTGAAATTTTAATTTCCACAAAATTGATAAGTGAGTAGTGTTATATTCATGTTTGGAAGCATACAACACAACTTCCAACTGTACACTTTTAGCAGCTTTCTGCTCATCATAGTGTTAAATTCTTTTTCTTTCACCTCTATGACAGACTAAAATCCTTGAAGACTAAATGAAACAATAAATCTCTATTCCTTTCTCATTCCGATAAGCAAATGAAACAATAAATTATATAGTCAGTTGAGTTTGAGCAATTGCTTAAACTATGCACACTAATTGAATCATCTTAATTGTAATGTCTACGTATACACTAATTGCATGCCATGGTATTGCTGTTCAAGCCATTGGAGCCCTTGCTCCCAAATAGAAAAGGTCAAAGATTTCAATAACAAAAATAAATTTAAAAAAATAAGAAACACACACACACACACCCTCATCATCCATAACCACCTCTGGTGGATAACTGTTATGCATAGAAGGCTCAAATTGCATGTCTCGTTAACTCATTGCGAGGGAGAAGATTCCAAATGCCCTCTTCAAGGGTGATGGACGATGTATGACGCGCCCGGAAAAAAGAAAAAAAGCTTACTAACAGGATTATATCATTGCTAAAATGCGTTCGCCGTAATGCTTCCAAAAATGAACTGAAAGCAGACCACATGATACTTATCTGAGGTCCATGCCAAAAATAAAAAATTTAAAAAAAAAGCTGTTCTATCTCTCATCAAAACTGACAAGAAACGTAAGCGAATTTTCTTCTTCAACCAACCAAATGAAACATAAGAAAACGAAAAACACAAAAACTTCAACAAATTGAAGAATCAAAACTCAAATACCTTGCAAGTAATAGCCAAATCCATCGCTCCAACGATCGAATTAACCGCCGCAGCCGCCTTGATTGACCGAAGAACCAATCCAACCCAATAAAGTAACCTTATGTAGCAAGAATCAGAAGTGCAGAGGACGGCATAGATCGAAACTCATAAGAATTCTGTGAATTATAATCATAGAACTGAAGGATCTGATCAGCCAACAAAAAACCCTACAAAGAAAACCAATCCTAGTGAGAGCTCTCCTCCATTCCACCTCTACCGCTCCCACCGATTGCTCGCCTTCCTTCTCTTAATTTCTCCCCCTTTTTTTTCTCTTCTTAATTTTTCCCCTAATCGGCGAGAAGTTCGCGAGCTCTTGAAGCGGAGATCGGCTTGGCCGCGAGGTCTGAATCATTTTGGCTTTCCCTCCTCGCTCTCGCCGGGACGGTGTGGTGTCTGTGTGGCCTTCCCTGTAGCCGAAAATATATTGGTTCAGAAGTGGGGTCGATGTATCTTTCGGTGGACCCCAGCAGTAGGAACCAATCAAAGAGTAGGATCAGGAACGGCTACATGGGCAGCGCGGCTCGGTTTGCTACGGACTTATGCTGCAGTGTCAAATACGGTTTGCTGCGGAATATTGCGTCCGGTTTATTTTATTTTTATTTATTTATTCTAACAAATCACGCTGAATGAACCTTTTTGGTGAGGGCCGATGGTCAAAGTTGGGATAAGAAAAGAGTGGGTGGGGGGGCCTTCGTGGAGACTAATATAAATATAATACACCAAAACCCTAACCCTAGCTCAAAGTTTTTGGATGGATGGTGTAGAGGTAAATATATAGATATTCCTTTAGTTAAATTTAAATTTTTTTTAAAATATTTTGGTGCTTAAATCAAACTAACTTTATATATCACAATAAGAACTTATTTCAGCGAAGTTAATGTGAAAGATATTTTTTTTATTAAGGCTATTAAAAAATTGTTGCACGTGAATAACTCATATTTGATTCATTAAGGATTTGTTTGAGGCGGCGTTGTTGTGTCGCACCACAATTTTTTTTGTCTGTTTTTTTTTTAAAATTTGTAGCTGAAAGTTGTGTTTTATCACCGAACCTGACTAAATGCGATAGCTGCTAGAAAGTAATGGTATGATTTTTTCAAAAAAAAATATAATAACCATCACAACTTTTTGAACAACAGTTTTACAACTACTTCTTCAAACAGCAGCAGCTGCGCCAAACAAACCCTGAGAAATGTTTATTCAATTTGTTAGGTAAATGATACGATAATAAACAAATACTTCGAGCTTATTTTGTCAATGTGATAAGCACAACAGTCTATTGTATGATGATTTTCAACTCATTTTTTGCTTGAAATAAATAAATGAAAATCATATCTCACAAATTTTTTTTCTATGACTATTTTGTAAGGTCAGTGAATGATTTAATAAAAGGATTTCTCAAACAAAGGATTTAAATCCATCGGTTGAGCTTCAAATCCTTATGCATCTAAAATCATCTCATTCATTATTTGACATGTCCCATCTTAAATCTTGACCTCTCGCCTTACAAACTTACATAACCACAATCTAGCATTCTTAGTTCTTAGTTCTTACCATTAACTCTTATTATTTCACAAATCTGGCTAGTAGTTTCTCTATCTCTCTATTTCCTTAGTTGCTTAAATTGTTTATTTCTCTTACTTTTTGACACTATTTTCTCTTTCTCTATGTTATTAAGAGAAGCCCTAGCCAACCAATTACTTATTGGCTTTCTTGATCTTTCTCACTATCTTTTTACATTCTTACCTCCACAATTGAGGGCGGTGCAATATAGATGCTAATTTTATTAGTATATTATTGACATTATTCTCAAGCCCATCGGTTGTCTCTCTGTCGTCGTCGCACTGTCGAACTTATATGTTGTTGTTGTTGTCGTGGAGTCGCCAATTTGTTCATTGTTATATTGTCTCCCTTCCTGAATCCTTTCAACTCATACCATGTCAATGGGTACAAGAAGGGAGAAGACAGGGAAAGCAAGTCCAATAATAATGAAAACAAATAAATTTCGAAGGAAATTTCATAATGAATTCGTTGTCGTCAAAGAATCCTTATGAAAGCATCATACCAAAGATTTCAGGTTTGTGTACATGTTCTGGGGTTCACAACTTCTTATAGGGACAAGTCCCTACAGTTAATTGCATCGTAAATAATCCACAATTATTTAAGAAACCTTCCAATTAAGGTTTAGATTTGCTTTCAGGAAGTTCAAAAAATGTTGTTAAGGAAGGGAGTGTCAAAGTCCTATCCAAATGGTAGTAGATTCCACACTATCCTAAAGTTTGTTTAGTTGATATTCATCCTTTTGATTCATGTTTTAAGTGGCTAAAATGATCGTCCTGCAAAACAGAGTTAACATACCCTATAATGTGTAAAGAAAATCTAGGATGAAAATCATCTTGTCTTTAACAACCCTGCAAAATAAAGTTAACAAAAAAGACATTTTACGTATTTATTTTTGTTTGTTGAGTTTTAAATTTTTAGATAACCCAGTCAAGATGTACATGACTTCATTGTCACGGGATCGTTGAATACCTTAATCTACTTAGTCTGAAAGGTAGTAACACCATGACCAGAAGATTCTTGTTAACAACCACGGATTGCATCGTTCAAGAAATCTTCGTAGACCAAAACATATTGGGTTTAATTTGCGTTCAGTGATCTTTGTTCATTAGGGCTTCATTTAAGTTTTAATGTCTTTTTTATGGATTTTAGGGGTTGAAAATTTTAGGTTGCTTAAGAATTATTAGCCGATTATTTTTTGTCAATTTTTTATTTATTCTTATTTGGGATGACCCGATCAAGATCTCATGGTTTCGTCGTCCCGAGGCATTAAGGTTTGCAGTTTGATTAGCGAAAGTGATTAGAAGATGTTTTGTTAGCAACCATGTGTTACCTCCTCCAAAATATCTTCTCAAACATAGTTACATTTTTAGGTTCAAGTTTTAGTTTTAAAGTTCTTAAGGTAGATTTTAAGCCATTTAGTACCTTAGTCAAAGGTATTCACGGCCGAGATAAATTGTGATTTATTTTCTCATATTGAGAAATAAAACTCTATTTAACCTTCAATAACTTGGCCTAAGTTTAATTCTTAGAATAATTCAAGTTGAGTTGAATTAACCTAAAGGAGGATTTTCAGGTTATTCAAATTTAACCTTGATTAGGTTAGTTGTCTTTCAAATTATCCTCAAGCTTAATTGAACATAATAGGATTAACCAAAATTAATTTAGGCTAATTACAATCAAACTAATCAGATTAGCTTGGGGAGACTTGGGTTCAAACAACATTAAACTTAAGTGAAAGTTTAAGTTAACTTAGACTTAAATTGTGCTTTAAGTCTGGGTATGAATTAAATCAAGCCTAGACTCAAAGTTCATTTAAGCTTGAATTTCAGTTCCATTGTGGATAACCCGAGTTGAGTCAAGTTTTCCAAATGATTCAATTGAATTGGGTTAACTGGAGTTGAGTCTGCTTAACCTTATAGTTCAATTGAAAAGAATTTAAAAACGAGCTAGATTCCTTAAGTCCAAGTTAAGTTGGATATAGGTTAGGCTGGACCCAAAGGAACTTATGTTGGTGTTGAATTTAAGTAGTTTAAACTTAAATTTAAATTCAACTTGGACTAGAGTTCATGTGGATGAGATTTAATGTTTTAAGCTCGGTGTCAGTTGAACCTAAAATTAATTAAGTTTGATGTAGAATGGGTTTAGAGTTGAAATTAAGCTAAGTTTAAGGTAAATTAGACTTAGAAGCTTAGTTTTAATCAAGTCTAATTTAGTTAAGACTTGTTAGATAATTAGGTCTAATGTATGTAAGACCTAATTCTTTTTTTATTTAACTAAGTTCAATGTGATTAAGACTTAGTTAATTAATTAGGTAATTAAGTCTAACCATGCACACTAGCTACTTTCCTAAGATTTACTCTTTCATAAGGTCATTGGAAATTCTTAGTGGTCATCTATTTAATCAAAGAGTAAGCCTCATCAAATGGCTTGGACATGAGTGAACCACCAACGATAACATCAACAATAAACTAAGAGATATTACTAAAACATTGTAAGAAGTCTAAATAATTAAATAATCAGGGAAGAGAATGATGTGGGCACTTCCTAAGAAGTTCCTTAAATCATTTACATGCCTCATAAATCGACTCACCTCCTAACTGACAAAATGAAATAATATCATTCCTAAGTTTAACAATTTTTTAAGGTGGGAAATACTTAGCTAGGAATTTTCGGGTTAAGTCACCCTAAGTCCTAATTGATCCAATTGTTAAAGAGTTCAATCACATTTTAGCTTTATCCCTCAAGAAAAAGGGAAAAATCATAAATCTAACAACTTTATTTGACACACCATTATAATGAAATGTAGCGCAAAGTTCTAAAAAACTTGTTAAGTATAAATTTGAATCCTCAGACACGGTTCCCACAAATTGGTTATTCTGTACCATTTGGATAATAGCAGACTTCCCTTCAAATGTGCTAGTTTCTACGACAGGAGTTTGAATACTTAAGTGAATTTCATCTCCGTAGGATTAGCGTAATCCCTTAATGGTCTATGCGCGTTATGATATTCATTAATTGGTATTTAATTATCTAAATTGTTTTGTTGAATGTTCAACATTTCTTCTACAAGTTCGTGAAGTCTTTTTCTTTTCCTAATTTTCTTAATAGTACTATCTAGTTTCAAATCGTAGGGTACAAGTCTTACACCACATATTCACTTACTAAAGACTAACTAGTAAGTTTATCATAAACACACTAATATACAAAAAAAAAAAATTATTTATTTTTCAAACAAACAAATACTTACTCAATATGACTACATTACACTTTTCCAAATCTAAGTCTAATTGATTCAACTAAAATTCTTCTAAGTTAACTACACCGTAGCTCCCCTGCAATGACACCAAAGACTTATTACCTTCCCGGTTCAGGTTCACTTGCACACAGGGGTTTCAACAAGTATACATATTATATCATTAATATCGGATTTATGAGTCTGTAATATCGATCTCACATAGAGTGAGGCAGTTTCACTTAAGAAAAATTCTAGCTTACTAGGTTTAGTTCTTACCAGTCCTATCAACTTACCAATAATCTCACTGGTTTACTCCTAAAGCAATTCTACTAAATATAATTAAGCTGGTGAAATTCAAGATATAAAGCTACCCTCTCTTATAATGATCTAAGTGGTGCACATAAACAAAATACTTTGAATTACAAATGTGGCTAGTGATAAATAGAAGTAATTATATTGTTTACCCTCTCCCGAGTGCATACAAAAATTTTATTAAACTGACTTAATTCCTTAAACCCCAGTTTAAACCCATCAAAGATTATTTCCTTAAAACCTATTATAAAGCTACCCTCTCTATGAACTATTTTTGCTTCACCCACTAGTTTGATGTAAATATTCTAATTGCTCCTCCATAGCTCTCCCAAGTCATTATGGATCATAGTGAATTTTAAATAATTACTTGGCTAGAATGAAAAATAAATTATGCCTTAAAGAATACTCGTCACATTAAACAGTAAAAACAAATTTTAAAAGTATTCTACTATTCCTGCACAACCTACTTATTCATCACAAGAAAAAGGAAAGAATAACTACTCACAATGCATGGAAGAAACAACACAAAACATGTTTTAAATAAAGCAAATCTACTAGAATTGAGATTATAAAAAAGTAAAATACAAAAGGTGCACAGTACTTATCTTTTTCCCTTTACAAAAATGTTGTAAATGTGTCCTCAAAGGATCTTCCATTCCTTGCTGCAATGCTTAGAATCTCCTCTCTAATATAGCTCTCAATCGTCATCCATATCTCAATATAATAATCAAAGAAAATACAAGTTACTACCCTAACAACTCCTAAGGATTTCCCTTAGGATTTATGCAGCACTTAGCCTTCTTCTTCTCTCTTCTCCTCTCTTTTACTTCAACAAATACACCAATATATGTTTAGCATAACACTGATAATTTGTGAAGAAAACTACTGGAACTGCCCCAGGCATTTTTGGCACCTAGGCGCCACAAGGTTGGCACCTTGGTGCAAAGCTCTTTACCTGGTTGTCGAGGTTTTGGCATCTAGGAACCCAAGTTGGTGGTGCCAAGGTGCTCTGGTGCAGTTCCTTCGTGCCCAAAGGCTGGCGCTTAAGCGACAGTCACTTGGTCTTCCCTTGGCTTCATGTCACCTCTGGTTTGCTCTGTTTCTTCTCCACTTCGTTCAAGTTCTACTACATGTTGTGCCTACAAGAAAAACACAAAAAATACCTTTTTTAAGTACAATTTCATCCATAAACAGGTGCAAAAGAGAAAGAAAATTAAGCATGCTTTATGTCATATCAAATCCTTGTCATTTCAATAAGTATAAGTCTCACCTTTCGGAGCTCCAATTGATAGTCATAGGATAGAGTTTTCTTACTTTGACCTTAGGGCTACTGAGGTCCCTCATGGATGATGTAATTCATAGATTGCTAATCTGAGATATCTGGAAGTTTCGGGTTGATTACCTTCAAGACTGGGTAGACTTAGGGTTCTAGTGGCTTAGGATGATGGGTCCATAGTACCCCGACCCAGCTACCTCTACGTTCCAGGATTACTCCACCTTCCTGTTGTTGAGTCCTTTTGAGCTTTGTTGCTCCTAGACTTTGTTGATATAATCTTGATGGCCCAATGTCGATGAGTTGTCATCGTTTGAGATACAACAATTTGTCATCTGTCCTTATGACCCAGATGTTCTTTTATGTATTGGGATATCATCATCAAAATGATTTAGGTTGTTCTGTGTGCTCCGTATACCTATGAGCTGCTACCCACTTGGGATGCGAGAGACTCACTCTCTACCCAATGGCTTAACGAGAGTTTTGAAGCATACATGCATTCCCACATGGTATAACCTTCATTTAATGACCTATTTTCTCGTGTCTATGATAATATAAAGTGAAACCCTTTTATTGAGAGTATTCTTAGGTATCTCTTATGATGTAATTAACCAAGCGAGATATGCTCCCTTGGGAATGCTCTTGATCCAAGAACATACACTTACACTTGAATCCCTAGTTCTGGGTAGTTTACATAGGTATTCTTTAGCGAATATTGGTCCATGGTGCCTTTACCCGATCTTGTTTGGGCGAACATGTTTGACCTATCACTGTGAGGTTTATCACACGTAAGTTCTCCATGTTCTTTCTCTATTTATAGTCTTTGTCGTATGTCCATTCTTTTTTGGTTTCTCTCTTCTTCAGATCATTCATATGATCCAAAAGAGAGATTTATTTGGAAAAGAGAAATATAAGACGATTGACAAACTGAAAACTCTTTAAAAAATAAAAAGAGAATGGTATGAAAACACTCATGATTCTCAAACCTCTGAGGAAACAGGTTGGTCTGAGTTCTGAACTAGAGGAGGGCAGTGGGCCATTGATTATGGCTTAGTTTCTGATGTCAGGTCACTCTTCATGCTAGGAAAATTTAAGAAGATATTGGTTCTTCAGCTCCCCTACAGGAGTCATCACGAAGCATGAGGGTTGGCCCTGTTGAATGACGACCTCATCAGCCTAGCCTACTCTATCGACATTATCTCTGGAACCTACATATAAAATTTAAGAAAGAGGAATAGACGAAAATATAATTATTTCTTCAATCCCAAGGGCATTTTAGCATCGTAGCGCTATACGCATCGTAAAAAATTGTGTAATAATATTCTACTCGGAGGCTGAAAAACCTACGTTCAAGAATAATCATGTGCTGAAGGAGATATTCCCCATACTTCTTTGTTATTTTGGACTAACGAACTGTGACCTATCATACTCTTACTTTTCATGTGACGGTGCTGGGGATCTAGTGCATCTTCGAGGTAGCATTTCCTCTAATCGGGCCTGAAAACACTAAATAAAGAGGGAAAACTATAGATATGAGAATAAGTGGGCTAAAAAATATATAGATCCAATAAGTATATATAAACGTCATGGAACTGAAGCGCAAAGCAAGAACTGTGGCATTAAACTGGCCATCATAAATTATATTAATTGAGTGTTAGTGTTAAGCTATAGAGCTATGGCACTACCCCTTGGTTGAGTTTATGACTTTCAAAAAGACAACAATGAGATCTGAAATCATAATGGGGAACCACATTATTTGACCCTAGAGTCATAACACTATAACGACGCTCCACATACCATTGTGAACATGTCTCTTTGTCTGCATGGTCGCAACTTTATAAGTAGTGTTGCGGTCTTGCACCCTATCTAATAATTTTGAGCTTTGCCACCCATGGGGAGCGCATATATGTCCTTAAGGTGTATAAATGAGTGTGTTAGCTTCTATGTGAACTAATGAGTGGTGCCAACGATAGCTCTTTAGTCATGGTAGTAGCCCAATGATGGTAGGTCAGAACAGTGGTGCTCAATGAAGGTGGCGTGTCATGGAAACAACCTGATAATGGTGGTCCAACAAAGTGACGATCCAACAACAGTGGTCTAGTTATGGCCCAATGATGTCGATGGAGCAATGATGGTGATAGTAGAAGTTAGAGATGATAATCAAGCTATAATGTATTAATGGAAATAATGTCGTTGGTCAAGTGACCATAGTTCAAAAAAAGGCAATTTACTGTGATAATGATGTTGACAGCCAAATGATAGTGATCTGATGGTGACATTGATGTACAATAAGTGTGACGATAACCCAATGATAACAGTCTAGCACCATGGTGGCCATCGACATTGTCGTCAGACCACCGTTGCCCAATCACCACTGCTTCACAGTTGGACTATCATCATTGTGCCATAAATATTTTTGAACCACTACAGCCCGACCACCACCGTTGCTACTATCAGATCACTGACATTGGGTCATCGGTGCCAACACTAACGATGACACTGACATCAAATTTTATGGCGCAGGATCTCTATTGTCTGTCTTTCTTTACAACAGTTAAGTTCCCACCACTTTCCCTATGTATTAAAGGGCCGATGAAGTCTTATTATTACCTACATCAATATGGTGAAAATGTTTTCATTTGAGCTATACCTCATGATTTTCACCCTTTCAAATTTCCCACATAAAATCTCGTGACCTCCCCTTTATTAGCTCTTTATTTATCCATGCTCGTGCTGGATTATTATATGATGTTAAGACGTTAATATATCGTTCTGTCGTCATATATTCTTCCAACACGCAACATACATAATACCCATTATATGAAAATTGGTGTAAATGAAATTTCAATCTGTTCGGTCATGCACAAATCTACACGCAATATTCTTGTTTAAATATTCTATAATTAAATTTAAGACCATATAAAATATAATCTTAATGACCATACAATTTTATTGAATGTTTCATATGCACTTATCAACATGATTAGTAATTCGACCTAATTCCAAATAAGCCAAAATTAAGTATTTGGAGAATAGTTGAAAAGCCTAGAATATTAATCGATGCAAATCTTGCATGCTTATGGTCAAATAAAAGACTCTCAAGAAGATAAATCTTACAAGCCACTAATCACTTGAGTTCAGATGTATTCATTATTTACATCAAAATACAACTCATGAGAAATGTGTGTTGCGAACGTAAATTCCCTTTAAAATAGTGATAATTGTCAATTAAACAGCCACTTGCTATTGGTTAGCTACAAATTTGGAAGCCAGCTAAGAAATCTAACAAGCAATGAATTTTTTTTTTCTTTTTTTTTTCTTTTTTTTTCTTTCATGCTTATAAGATGCTAACTAAATATAGAAATAAAAAAAAATAAAATTATTATTTTTATATTTTTTTTAGGATTTCAATCTAACAAGAAAGCGCAGCAGCAGCAGCAGAACAGAGGGGACGATTGTTATTTGGGGAAGGGATCAGGTCCGGTTTGTTTCGGAGCGGGGTTCTTCATCTCCTCTTTCGTGTGGGTCCCACCACCAGCTTTAGGGGGACCCACTCGGGAGGAGAACCCCGTCGGTAGTCCTCCCTCCATCCGATTTCTTATTAAAAATGCCGACAGTCTCTTCAGCTCGCAAGATTCAATTTTGAGCGTTTGTTGCACGAAGGAATTTTTCTTCAAAGGTAATTGCAATTTGTATTTTTTTTTTTTTTTTTTTTTTTTTTTTTGGGTCTTCTCCTCCAATTACTGCAATTTTATTTATAGAGCTTTTGTTGGTAAATCATGAAATTTAATTTGCAAAAATTATGAAAATTTATTCTTTCAATTTCTCCTCTGTTCTTCGGTTATTTGTCCGCAAGAGAAACGTTTCATTAACATTTCCAATGATTTCCTTATAAATCATATCCTACGTAGAATTTTTTGTGGGGGCATTCACATGCAAACCACACAATTCTTTTTCATATTTGACGTTATATTAAAGATTTGAGGGTTATGCATGTAAATATAAGAGTTTAGGTGTTAGATATGTAAATACATAAGAATTTTGTGGTATATATGTAAATTTCTCAAAATTTTGAAGATATGCATGAGAAAGGTGTATTTCACTTCTTAGAAGTTAAAATACATATTACCTTACAATTCATGAAAAAAGGTGTATTTAAATTTTAAAATGATAGTATTACTTGTTATATGAAAGTTTCGGATGGTATAGATTTAATTAAAAAGTAATATTTAGGTGTTAAAAATGTAAATAATTAGAAATTGCCTATTATCTTTCTAAATTTCTCTTATAATTTAACATTTTGTAGTTTAAAGGTGTGTCTCACCATTAAAAAAAATAAATAATAGTAGTATTTTGATACACTACATAAGTATACAATTTTAAGTGTTATATATATATATATATATTGGTAGTAGCCCAATG